TATGTATGTGCAATTTCACTGACTTCTGGTGAAATCCCAAGACACATGAATCCCCAGAACCATTCTGCATCACTATGAACACAAACCTTGTAAGGCTACAGTAATCAGAACTGCAAAGCAAATCAAATAGATTATTCTCTTCTGACTTGTTCTAGTTAGCACAAAACACAGCAGTTACCTTTTGTGCTTGTAAAGCAGCTTCTCGCTGCTGCCAGCGCTTGTAGAGACCAAAGAGAGGTGTAGCTCCATCCACCCACTGGATCAGGCCTGACCTGGTGCCCAGAGGGGTCACGGAGTAGTGCCTGGCGTGGAACCGCGGCGTCTCTTGACGGTTGATAGTGGCAAACATGGTGTTCACAATTGATAAGAACTGCATGATTCTTTCATCTAGATGCAAATCTTCCAAACCTGCAATATGTTTATTTTGGTAAAATTTAGTTTCTAGATGAAAAAATTATCCTCCTAAACCCCAAACTTCACTGGGTTTTTTAACCTATTTCAGACTATGAATATCTTCATAAATTATGTAGATTAAGGATGAGTTGTTCAGCCTAAACCTAAATGTTCACATAGCATTTACCTACTGGAATCAGCAGTTTATGCCAGCTTGCTCTGTGAGCAGTACACACAAGTTACTAACAGGTCTTTCCCTTTCAGGCAAGACAAGAAGTCTCTAAAGTTCTCTTTTAGGTGTTACCTTAAGCTTCCAAAAAACCTACACCCAGCTAATCCAATCAGCATGCAAGCAGAACACTGTTTCTGATGAAAACCTTCTATGGAAAAGGTTTGAAACACTCCAGCCTTACAGCTTCAGAAGGCAAAATTCCTTCAAGACGTACGGTGAAGTGGGAGGTAAGGAAGAGAGAACAGTCTCTACTGCTTCAAAATGTATGGTGAAGTGGAAGATTAAGCAAGAGAGAGCAAATGCTTCAAACAACCCTTTCTCTGCATCATTCAGGCAGATCAAACAAAAGTTGAAACCATGCAATATTCCTAACTTTAATACAGTTTAATCTATAACAAGAGCCAGTAATTTGTGTGAGAATAAACGTAATAACTTACCTTTGAACAGGTAGGGATAGTTCTTCCCATCTGAACCCAGAAAAAGCAGCTTTTTAGGTTTGGTTTTGGTAGGCAGGATTGTGATGGTGCTGCCCACACTGTGAATTGTGACTGTGTCTCTGGTAGATACTTCTCCAGGGAGAGCTATCTCAGTGCTCATCATGGCAGCCAACCAAGGGCTGATTTCTTCAAGTCGTAAGAGGTAACTAGCACGTTTCTGTGCCCTCTGCTGCAAACTGAGCATAACCTATTCCAAAGAAATTTTGGGTTTAGGTTGAGGTTCACCTTAACAGTCAGCATTAAAAAACAAAACCACCATCAAACCAGACTTAATGGTGGTCATCATCCAGAAAGCACAGAGATATTACCTTAACTCCCTTTCACCCCTGCCACCCTACTAATCCAGGTACAGTTTAAGGATTAAGATGAGAAAAACTAAAAAACATCCTTTATGCAGCAAATAAAACCTTCATAGTGCTAAGCACCAAAGTCACAACAAATCATTGCTCCTCAACAAGTTTGCTCCTGTACTCATAAATATTAGAGCAGTGTTTAAAAGCAGCAGCATTCAGCAACCTCCTGTTTATGTACCTGCATGCTGGTTTGTTCTGCAAAGCAGGAGAGGAAGTACAAGGGAAAAGACTACCTGTGTGTAAAACCCAGATTCTGTCAGCAAAACTTTTAAAACCCACCAGGCTGGCTCAGGATAACTGTGTGAATATATATTTTGCTTCTCCTCAGACCCAGAAGAAACTAAGACAAGATCATAACTGGCAAATAAAGTACCCCTAGGAAGGGCTGATCATTTGAAAGCTGCTGCTTGGCCCAAGGACTGTGCTTAGATAACAAGAATAGCAACTTGTTAAAATTTAAATCCAATGAACTCAAATGGCAAAGAGTTTCAGATAGACTATTTTAAAAAATAAATCCCTCTGCCCCCAAAACTGACAGCAGAAGATGCCAAGACTTTATGCACAACATAAAATAATTTCACTGGATAGAAATGCACTAATGTAGTCAGTTAGACTTGCTAGAGGCAAAAATCCCTGTGTTTCAGTGTCCAGAGTGCCTGTGCTGACTGCTGAGAAGACAAAGTTTCAGGCTGCAAATTTGACAGGGCAAGAAAACAGCAAGAGAATACTAAGGAGAGGGTCAAGCACAAGGTGCAGCAAGAGGAGCAAGAGTCTCTACATTGTACTCTTCATCTGTGCACATAATACCTCTTTAAATGGGAGCCAGCTGCTTCCAGGTTTGGCAGGATTCAAAGGGTTCTTAAGTTTCTCTAGAGCATTTTCAATTGCATCTCCATAGTTATCCTGAAACCACTTCTCATGAGGAGTTTCTGCAGGAGCTGCAGTGATGCTCCGCACATGTTCCAAAGCAAACACAATGGGCTTCATCAGAGCTGTGTGCTTTTCACGCATGATGGCTATTTTCTCCTCCCTATTAAAAATAAAAAAAAACAAAATCAAAACCCAAATCTTCCCCTTAACTCGATAAAACCAAGTTACCCCATGATCTGCGCATTAAAATAAGACTACAAACGAGACATTAAAGAATTCCCAAAACCCATTATCTCTCTAAAATGAGGTCTTAAATGATGATCAGATTAAAGAATATTTCATTCCACACTGAACGCATGTTCCTCTGAAACATTTGAACTGGATTTTTCACCACTGAACATCCTGAGGAAAAGCTCTGAGCTCAAACCACTCTAAGTAACTGACTTCATTTACTAAAAGAGCTCTTTGTTACTACTTCTTGAGGATCCACCACACTACAAAGACAGGGAAGAGAGATATTCAGATCATTCTCTTCTCTCCTTAAGCTTAGTCATGTGCCCAGTGAATGGATCTCCTCCTCAACTATTACACTCACAAGAGAACCCAGGTGAGGGAGGAAAAAAGGATTTACTCAATACTGAAAACTGAAAGCAGATTAGGACATTCTGTTTAGTTCAAACATCTGTATTTACAGTAATCCCTAAATATGATAAATCCTTAAATACCTTTGTCCTCATTTCATCTGACTTGGAAATCAAGAACTATAGGATCCTATAATCCACAACTTAATATACACCAAGTTCTAACACATTATTACTAGAGAAATCTAGACATGGATTCACATGTAGACTGTTGTTTTTTCTCATTAGATTAGAGCACCAGCTGTAGCATTTAAACATTCTTGAAATAAGGTCCCAGGCTTACAAAGCAGCAGCTAGGAGAGTATGAATTCAGGAGCAACACCACTACAGCTTGGTTCTCCTGTATGCTTCCCAAGGCACAAACATTTGTTAGGTTATCACTTGAACTATTAAAAGGACATACTTCCGTAAAGTGTTGTTGTTTTGGACCCTCTTTACTTCATCTTCCAGTTGTTGAATCCTTCTGAGGACATACATGTGCTGCTGCAGTAGAACTCCCAACCAAAGCTCATCCCAAAGAACTGTAACTCTGCGCAGCTCAGCCACTAGCATCTGAACCTGAATAAAACCAGAACCACTTCTTTTAAAAGAACCAGGATTCAGACATTTTTGTCAATGAACAAGCTCAAAAACACGACGACCTAACAGCAGACAAACCAAATTTTCAGAGAGCCTACACCCAAGAGATAAAAGCTATGTGTTTTGTGGTTCAAAATAAGAGCCCAAGTAGTGCACATCTGGATTATTTACCTGCAATACCATTGTTGGATTTGCAGCAGAGAGTTTCTCCACAATTTTGCTGTAGCAATCTTGCATCATTGCTTGATCTTCATTTAATCCAGATTTTGTATCATCCTTACTACTGTCTTGGGAAGCTGGGGTGCTCCCTCCATCACATTCACCACCCAGCAGTCCTTGCCCTTGAATGTTACCCAGCAAAGTAGGGATGGCAGAAGGCAGCTTGTTTCCTAAATTAAAAACAGAGGTTAAAATATTAGCTACATTAAGATATATCACTCCATACTTCGTTTAGCACCAGGTCCCCAAATTTCATCAAGTACTGGAGAAGTATGTGAAAAATATGCAAAACTGAAGTCTTATTTGCCACCCTGGTAAAAAGGATGAAAGGTATCAGTGAGGACCTGTAATAAAAATATAAGATAAACCGTATTGAGAGTTAACTGAGACAACAAACCAAACAAACAAAAAACCCCCACAGCCACCTCAGTATCATTTTAACTAGTATATAAAATACATTAGCTAAAATGTATTAGAATCATTATTTTTCCTCCATACCTGAAGTCTGGGATTCACTGCTCAGGGAAATGGTTCCCACTATTGCAGGATACAGTATGAGGTGAGGAGAATCTTGAGCCACTCGACACAGTAAGTTGCAAATACTCTGCCTAACATACACCTCGGGGTGGTTCAGGCGGGAGAAAAGCTGAGGGATAATACCTGCACAAAGGGCAAAAGGAAATGTGCTGACTCATTTCACTACACTTCAAACGAGGCAGGAGGTTATTTTTGAAAGCTTGGCTTTTCTTGCATTGGGAGAATATAAAGGGGAAAAAAAAGAAAGTACAAATTGACTAATTTACAAAAAGTCCAAAAGAAAGTGCAATTTTGCAGTAGTTGGCCTCTCCTGCTGCCTTCCACACTGACTACACAACCTTCTGAGGGAAAGTCCCTGAACAATCAGAACCAGTAGTGTAGTGACAAACAACTGCTTCAAAGACATCTGGCTTTAGCCACACACCTTTCTCTGAACTGCAGCTAGAAAAAAATCCAACCCATTTGGTTTTTAACGTGGTAATATGACATAATACTTTGCAAACTACATCATCTTTCTCGTTCCCATGTCTTTGGGTGGGGCAAGGAGGAAATGAGAATCTGTGCTGCTTATCTGCCCTCGGATCAGAGTGAATGGCAGACCTGAACACCTCTAATGACATCATTTAGTAAAAGGCAAGCTCTCTTTCCATCATGCTTAAATAAACATTTTATCAAGGTGCAATGAATAGTTTTCTGTATTTAGAAAAAATGCATCTATTTTAACAACTAGATAACATGTACTCACCTCTCCAAGGAGCAGTAGGTGTAGTTTCTAGCCCATGCTCTAGGTACTGCCTAAGTTCTCCAGCATGTTTCACAAGCAAACGTAACAGTCTCAGGGTTGCCATCACAATAACATCATCAGTGCTTTGCTCAGAGGTGCTTCTTAAGTGCAGCCTGGGATCTTCTTCATCAAGTGGAACCTTAGAACAAAGCAATAAACCTCTAAGTTTACAGTTCATATCATCATTCAGAAATCTGTAATTGGATTTCCTCATCAGCACAAAAAACTAACCTGGCCAGCATTGAGTTTGAGGAAAGTAAAGTATGCACTACAGGAGAGTTTATAGAGACTGAAGATTCTGTCTACAACTTTCCTCCACACTTTAATTAACCCTTCAGTTGCATTTTCATCAAGGTCTGAAAGCCAGGGACAACTTGTTAATAATTGACGCCATATCACATCCACCATATCATCTTCTTCATTGTCCTCATTTTCAGTGATTTGGAGAGTCATATCTTCATCCTAATGCACATAAAGAGAAAACAAACTGGATTAAGTCCTCCAACCATTTCTACAAGCAATATTAGTTCCTAACTCAGTGTTTGTCTAGGCAACTCACACAACTGCATAACTTGATCACATCACTGTAGTTCATACAACAGATGTGTTACCACTTAACTAACAGATGGTTTCTTGTACTGTCTGAATTTTAACTTTGAGACACTTACAAGAGTTAACATGAATCACAAGCAGATGAAAAATAAGGCTCATGCTGAAGTTGAACTTTTTAAGCAAGCAAATGTACACTTACCTGAATCCCAGCTGGACGACACACTGCCTGCCCAAGGATCCCATAAATTTTCTCTTTATCTTCCTCTGCAATGTTGTCTGGAAGCAAGTTCTGAACCTCAGATTTTTCCCGGGGCAGCAGACGAACACCTTCTCCCTGACTGTAACATGGAACCCATTATTGATCCTCGTTACATGAGTATTTGTAGAGATACTGAAACCATTAAGACTCTCTCTATATATAAAACTTCTCGAAGGAAGAAGAAATCTTCATCTCTATCTCAGAACTAAACCAGCTTCTTTTAACAGAGAGGAAGTTATCACGAGAATATTAATTTCTCTGCTCACATGCAACTTCGAACCACAAACAAAAGTAATCACAAATACAAACCTAGGGTTTATCTTCAGAAAACTAATTGTGCTGTATGAATTTAAACACTCAGCTGAACTTACCTGGCATTATCAACTACCTTCCGGCCCCATCTGTAAGCCCAGCTGGCCAGGGCTGCCCAGGACTTGGCTACTTCAGGTGCCTGCACTGAAGACAAGTGGTACAGCTGGCCCAAGATGAAGTCAGGTTCTCCAACTCCAATGTTTACTGTGATGGGAGAAATAGAACAGTATATGTTATGGTATAAAACCTACTTTTGATTTCCTTAACACAGAAAGTAACACCAAAACATTACAAGCACATAATATTTCTTCAGTACAATTAATACCCAAGGGTAGGAAATGTTCCAGAACACGATTATTTTTTAGTTCTGACACTGCTGCAAAACAAAGCGAAGTTTACATTTGCTAAGACCACAGCTTATGCTCTACAATTGCTTCTTCTTTCCAGAAAGAAGGAACTAAAGTAAGAAACTCAAGATCTCCAAAAGGACACAGTGCTTCAGAGAGCAGACTGCTCTCAAGTACCCAGGGCAGTGTGGCTGTGTTTGTTTGTGTATATATTTATCTTTTTCACCATCAAGTTAGCAAGGACTACTTAACATTCATTGACAGCTCTAAAATAATTCTGACTCTGCACAACACCAACCAAGTTATTTATGAAATTCATGTTTAAATAAAGACAGAGTTTCTCTCAACATTTGTCTGCTGAAATTTGGGAATGAGAGTACATTTTGCAGCAACAGCAGAAGTGTTTGGATTGAGTATAGATTAAAGAGCGTGAAAAAGCCTAAAGTACTTATTAGAGCCATCAAAACATAAATCCTGTCCATGCTTAATCTGAAAGATCTCATTGAAACCAACACACAAGCTGAAAGCACACTCAGAACAAAAACTGATATCCTCATACAAAATAAACAGATCTCAATTTCTTCTTCAGGCCACCACCACTTGAATGAGAAAAATGTACAGAAATATGAAATATCACTATTGGAGTGCTTGGGTTTCACTGTGCATAGTTACCTATTGCTCAAAATACACTGCTTATACATCTATTAGGGAAACAAATACATGACTGATGGAGCACTTGGTCTTTATCAATAGTGCTATCCCTCACTGGAATAATCAGAAACCAAATTAAAAAAGAGAGTAAGAAGGAGAACAAATCTACCTGTAGATTCACTTTCAATCCTAGGATATTCTTCTTCTAGGTTATTAACAGCTGGGAGATCAATCAAATTATATATGTTTTTAGACAAGGTAGACAGACCAGTGTGATTCTCCTGCTGTCGAGCTCTGTATACTTGTTTCAACTGTCCTGAAATCTCTTTCCATTCTGCTTGAATCCACTTAGCCAGTGTGAGAATAGATTTAGCAACTGCATACTCAGCTTTGGCAGATTTGCAGAAAGATATGGCACAAGAACTCAGCATTTCCATGGCATGTGTTGACTGACCTGCATATCATGAGAAGCAAATCTTGAGTACAATGTTCACATTACTCAAAACACTTCTGAAATTGTGTGTTTAGATACAGCTTTTAACAATACATTTTTTATACAGAAAGTTATCTTTTTCAGCTAAGTATGACAAGTAGGAAAAGAGTTTTGAAAACACTTCCCAACAAGTTAATAAGATGAAATCAGTTCCTAATGATTTCTTCAAGGTCAGGGGAATTAGCCTAGGTCTAAAGACAAGAAACACAAGCCACTACAACATAACTAGCTGCTCACCTGCTAACTCACCTGCTGTGTATAACACTCACCTGCTGTGTATAGCAATTTTGTCTTCTCAATATCAAGTTCAGGACCCCATTTTTCATCTATCTGACCTGGTACAGACAATTTTTTAAAGTGCTGGACTAAGTCCTGTGCAGTGGTGGTTTTTCCTAGCTGAACTTCACTGCACTGGGCAAGCAGCCGTGTAGCTAGGGCGATGTTTCCTCGCTTCCGTGCAAATTTTGCTGCAGTTAAGCCCAGTTCCATCAGATGGCTTTTAATTGGGACTGTTGGTTCTGAAGAAGGAAGCAAGACAGAATGGAGATACAAGATCATTAATCTATTATCTGTTACACAGGTAATTTGTGCCCAACGTATTCTGTACAAGGCCATCAGTAAAACATTGCTCAGCTCTTTCCTACTTTTTATCACCTCCTTCAGAAATTTAGATGACTTCATTTATGCCTAGAATATTTATATACCCCATCTGAAACAAAAAATATATCCATAGATTATCTGCTGGGCAAGAGATACTTTTGATAGATAGATATACACATTCTTCTTAACTAAGAAACCAAATTGTCCCCTGACAGAACTTCTTTTTCTCCCATTACCTTTTATCATACTGCATCTTTCAATGGCTTCTGTGAGTGTTTTTAAAGACTCATTATTTATAGTGTTGAAGTGTTCAAATGGAAAAACATTTAATATATGAACAGAAGAGCAACTAAGGTATTATTAAGAGTTTAGAGCTGCTAAACACTTAGGTACTCTCATTTTTCTTTTTAACAGTCTCCATCAGAGTAGTAATTGAGACACTGAGTTTTGCTGTTGCTGTAAAGCAAAACACCTAAATAACCAAAACTTGGCTTTTAAACTGCAATCCATCTAAATAACAGAAAGAGACACAGCTGCTGCTTTCAACAAATGATTCAAGTTCAAATTCTGCATTTACTCTTCATAACACTAAAATGAGTTTACATACCTTTAAGCTTTTCCATCAGTTGATTCTGGTACACTGTGTACCTCAGTGCATGCATCCACGGCCTCACATCATGCTGCTTGCAGGACCTCAAAGCATCATTGAAGAGAGGTACAAGACAGTCCTGAAAGAGGCACACAAGTTACAGAGTTGTCATGAGAAACAACTTTACTAAAATGTATTTTCATTTTTTATTAAAACCAAAGAGCATTTTAGTGCAGAGTAAACATTCTTATTAGCAGCCAACTAATAGAACATATTTTATGCTTGCTTTTGAGAGGACAACACTAAGAATTGCTCCAAATCAAGCAGAATTGATTTCTGAACAATGTGATTAGAGATTAGAACTAGATGATTCATGCTGGCTGAAGTCTGACATGGAGTGTTTTACTGCTGAAGAGATTTTTTATTTAACTAGACTATTTTAAAGCTGCTTTTAAAGTAAAGTGTGTTGTAGTACTAAGCTCTTAGAGAAGACATACCAACAGTTCTCTGAAGAGTAACTACCAATAAAGCTTATAAAATATGTAAGTGTAATTGAAAAGAGATGTTTATAACTACAGAAAGAATTCCAACTGAGATGTAAACTTGGGTCAAAGCACATTAGAAAACTCAATGAGGTCTTTTTAAAGTATGATTAACAACAGACAAAACAATTATGTATGTTCTATACTCAAGACTCCATGGCATGTCATGAAGAAAGACATCACCCCAATTTATGTTTTAATACATACCTCTGATGTCAGCCTGTTGCACACAGTGTTTTCCAAAGCAGAAGAACAATACAACTGCAGAGTGCTCAACACAGGTAACGACTGAGACACAGTGAGTGTGGAAAGTCTCAAAGGTCCAATAGCAATTCGTGAGGTTTGCTTTAAGTACTTAATCAGATTTCTGAAATAAAAGCATCAGAACAGTCATTTTTGTTAGCTAGACTTAAAGAGCAAATAGTGGTATCAAAACTACTGAAGAAAAACCAAATTCAGTGTCTCTTAAAGATAAGAAAATCTTGCAATATCACACACAACTTACATTACAATACTATTAAACTGCCAAGCAAAAGTACTTTATCAACTCAAAGTACTTTATCAACTATATAAACTCCAATTTAAACATCACCTTACTTTTCCTCAGTAAGCTTGTAACTCACAACAGCTTGAACTGGCAGCACAGATGCTGAAGCTTTACAAAAGATTATGTTTCATGAATCAGAACAGCTTTTCACAGCGCATGACATTAATTCAGAGCACATTTCAACTTACTCAGATATTGACTGCCACTTTTGCTCCTGGTCTATGTGGTTCACAGCTGTTGCCAGACATACTGAACTTCTCAAAAGCTGTACTTCCACTGCTTTCTGAAGTTCTCTTGGATCAGGACTTAGCATATTAGGAAGGAGCTTCTTCATGTCTACATGGAGATTAAAAGTTGAAACCAAATAGAACTGCCAAAGGTTATCAAGTTTCACCATCTGAGAATGCATTTTTTAGAATATGGAAGCTAGGAAAAATCCTTTCAAAAAAAATATATTTTATATATGTATTCATATTAGAAATTTATGACAGATTACTTATAAACACACAGGTTAACTCCACAAAACACACTTGCACCATCACTTGGAATGACCACTGCCAATTCTTTTGAAGCTTGATTCAGAAAGGTTATGGTCAGTCCACTGAACACAGCAAAGTACATTCGGAAGCTTCAGACTGTCATGTATAGAGAGATACATGAAGAAATATTTACTTTTGTATTTGAAGTAATGTTAGTTTATACATTTATACCTATTTTTTCTTTGGATCCCCCTGCAAGCAAGTTGATATTTTCTCCTGGTAGTAATTCCAGTTGTTCAGTGCATTCAGTAAGTTCTCCAGACTCAAAGCTGCTCAAAGATCTGCAATTCAATGTTATAGTTTTATTTTCACGTCTTACTTCATTCCAGTAGCTAAATACATTATACAGAAAAAACCAAGACAGACTCAAGCCTAACTCCAAATCCCAGAGAGCACTTACGAATAATTCTAAGGAAAAAAATCCCAATTTTCACATAAACCAATACAAGGCAGTAGTGCTGCACCAAATGGATACACTCAGAATCACACTGGAATATTTGCAGTTCATAAATTAAACAAATTTGTACTGCTTAACTGTCCAAACCAGCAAATTTAGCTTTTTCCCCCCACTGCTCTACATTAAAAATAATTTGGGCATAATTTTGCAGAACTACACGAAAAATAGCATTGAAACGTTAAGAAGCTGAATGGCTCAGAAGATTCCAATGTTCAATATTCCTGTTACTACTCACTGAAGAAGGAATTACCTAAGTATCTGAGAAAAGAAACAAAAAATTAGTATGTGAAAACTCCACTTGCTACTGAATTATTTCCATCCTCATTACTACAGAGAGTTTCTTTGCCTGCTCAGGGGGAAAAGAGTCAAAGTGCTGTTCATCCTCAGGAATTCTTCACAGGATTTCTCTGATGATACAGAATCCTACTTCTAGTAATTATCTGGATGAAAACTACCTCAAAGCAGTCAATACAACAACACCTCTGCAACAGCACAGCATTTGTGATGTTTACCACCACAAGTACGGTGAGTTTAGTTTACAAAACCACAAATGCTAAAAAAAAAAAAGACACATTTTCACATCCATGACATGTATTCACCTAACAAATTAACTGCACAACATCAAGCTACTACTGCAGGACTGCCCCTTCCTCTGACACAACCTGTCTTTTTTCAGACCTGCAAGACTTTATTTCACTGTTTCCCTCTATGCTTTTATTTTCAAGTCAAGAAACCTCAGTCAAGAGGATTTTACAATGTTTACCACAACAGAACAAGAATGGAAAGTAATCAAGTTGTCAAATGAAAAGAAAGGACCTTAAAGGACTATTCAATGTCACAACTATTTTTCATGAACCAAACAAATATCAGGGGTCAGGAAATAAAGACACAAGCTACAATTCTAAATTCCTTTGAAAAAAGAAACAAAACAAAGAAATTAAGCAGCCAAGATCACTCCCTTCCTATACTTTTCCCATTAAATTAATGAATTATTTTTAAGAATTGTACCACTGAAAGGCATTTATTTTTGCTATCATTTAAGCTGGATGAAAGGATGCATCTTCTGCCAAGAGAGACAGAAAAAATTTGGCATCTTTTTCCTTCAATGAAACATGTTTTTCTGGAGTGCTAAGAAGCCTCAGCAGCCAGAAACCCACAGCAACTATTTAGAACCATGTTAACATCTTCACTTATCTGTAAATATCATGGCTAATTTTCCACCCTCCCAAGAACACAACTTTCTCCTTCACACACTTCTGTTTAAAAACTGACATCCAGTTTCTAAAATCCATAAAAATTCAATACTTCAGTTTTAAAATAATAAACTCTAAGGTACTGCTGAATAAACTCATTATAATTATATCCTTACTTTATGTAGTTAAAATCTGCTTTCAGATTGATTGAGGTATTACTGTTGCTTTTCTTCAGTTCATGGACCATGTTCTGCCACTCCTGAACAGCAGCCCAGTCCGCAATGGAAATGTAACATTCACAGGCTTTGTTTCCCAAGTAGTTTATAACTTCAGGTGAAGAGTCACTTGGCTTAGTCAGAACAGTTTTTCTAGTTTCTCCTGTGAAATGAAAAAAATTTTGTATATGCACACTTAAATTTGTATTTTAAAATAGCAATTCTATTACACAAATGTAATTTCTATGATTTTGTCGAGAAAAACAGTGAATTACAAAAATAAATCATAGTTAGACAATGTTTACAGTATTCTTCCACTGACTCTTTTGCTAAGAAACAGAACCTTTTCAAAGGAGGTTCTGGAAAAATTTAGTCCTTTTCTGTAAAAAAGCATCAAAACAGAAAAACAGAACAGCTAAATTAGGAACAAAGAAGGTGGTTCTTCAAACATGAAACAGAATACTGCAACCAATTCCTAGTAGTTAAAACCTCTGAGTAACCAGTGCATTTATCACACAATTACGGCATAAATACAAATGTTTTAGAATTAAGTCAGTAAGTTACAAAATATTTTACCTATTCTTTTTAGTTTCATTCAGCTAGACCTCAGTACTGCAAACCCTCCCAGCTACACATACCATTGGTTTCAACAGTTTTAAGTAGTTCAGTTTAACTGCAGACAGAAACAGGTTTTCAGATTTCAGAGTCAGACATTACCATGGCTACAGATCATTGCATGTTCTCATTTTAGGGACACACAGCTACAAACTATTTCTCTGAAGAAGAAAACAGTAAACACTGACCATTCAAGGAATGCTTTGGGCTGGCATTATTCACACTGTTTGAATTGGCCAACTTCAGCACACTCTTGTCAAAGCCTGTGATGCAGCAATCCACTCCAGTCATGGAGCAGAGGTGCTCCTGGTACTCTGCAGTTGCTTTTTCAAACCTTAAACAGTTTAATATTTTAGTCAGCATTTTAAAGAAACAGGTTTCGTAAACAGACTATTTTATATAGCATAGGATAAAAGCTTGTCCATTCAAGTTTTAATGTCAACTTCAAACCAAGGACATACAGAAGGAAATAAGTGAGTTTTGTACTTGACTGTCACACTTTCTACCTGAATGAGTAGAGCTGAATACTGATTTCAGAGTTTTGTAGAACTGGGGCTAGAGCAACAATTCACACCTTATAGCTGACATTTCTGAGAAACTTCTCACCTATTACAAAACTGCACAAGATTTTTTTAAGGAATCTTAAAAAAACAGGGGAAGATAGCTACAAAACCTCTCTTTGCTTTGTGCATGGATTTTCACACAGCAGGTAAATAATGAAAGGTGTCCCTTCTTCATCTCATACAGAAGAGATATAATAATACAGTATTACTTTCAGGAGATGAAAACACCAAAATGAAGGCACACCCTGTCTGGAACAGTGACCTACTTATTTGTATCTGCATCCAAAGATTCTACTGAAATAGACACAGATGCCACTTTTTCAAAGCTGAGCTAAAGCTGCAAAGCAAATTCTTCTCCTGGCAAACAATAGACACAGGTGCCACTTTTTCAAAGCTGAGCTAAAACTGCAAAGCAAATTCTTCTCCTGGCAAAGTGAGGCAGGTAACCAGACCATGAATTGGTCAGAAACCTCTTTAGGAAATATTTAAATTGATAATATTTTGCAATGGAAAATTAAATACAGTATGAAAACAGTATTGCTGTGTATGAAAAACTAGGATAAAACAATTTAGGAACACAATTTATATCCAAATCCTGGTAATTTAGTTAAAATTAGTAGTTAAAATACAAAAAAATGCTGGATACATTAAGGTATTTCTGAAGATACCATGACTTTAATTGACATGGAAATTACATCAGCAGCCTTGACTCAGGCCAAAATTTAAAAGACTCAGAAGTATAACTACTTGTAAGCAGGACAAAATGTCCAAGTTTGTAACATTCAATTATTTGAGAAAACTTACCTCCCTTCTGCTTGCTGAGCTACAGAATTGATCCAGGAGAGACTCTTCCCAACTACAGCAGAGGACCAGACAGCAATACCCTGAATAGCTTCAGGACAGTGAAGCTCACATAATGCTTCTACCAGCATCATAATTGTCACTTCCAATTCATTTCCCTGAAACCAAACCAAAAGCATTATTTAACAAAACTCATATAAAACTATAAATACATATTATATGAGTAAACATTTGGGATGGTGATGCAGTATTTCATCATATGCATCTACAAGTGAAGTGCCCCTCATATCCATTCATTGTATTGCTTTTGGAAAAGCAGGGAAGCTCAGGTAAGAGCATATACTGTGAATCCATGGCCTGAATGGCAAGAGTGAGCAAGCACTATGTGATGGTTTATACCTAATGGGAATTCATAAAGGAGCAGGAAGCAACAAATATCTATCAAACCTTGTTTGATAAAATATTACAGCAAATCAAGTCATGTACTGAAGAAACTCTTCATACTTTTCAGAAGGCTTTAACCACTTTATCCACCCATCCCACCCCTGCACTTAGGTGCTAGTTACTTAGAGAAGAAAGTTACACTAATGATATAATCCCCCTCCTCCTCATACCCACAGATAAGCAAAGACACTATACCACCACAAGTTTTGGAAGGCCTCATACTAATGCAACACCAGTTTCCAAAGGTATAAGCAGGACCTCCCACTTGATAAGAAACTGGTCAATTCAAACTGTGAATGAACTACAGTATTCACTTCTGTGAAGTATTCGACCACACATGCACAGTACACCCTAATCTCCAACCTAGAGTGTCAATACAGAAGCACAAGTTAAAAATGTGACTTTAAGTAACACAATCTTTTACAGACCAGCTGGTTTCATAACTGCTGACTGCCTTAGCTTAGCTCTTTAAGAATATTGTGGAAATGTTTTGCAACAGGCTCTAGAGTTTGGAAAGAGAGTACCTGAGAGATACTATTATTAGTTTTCATTTCTGTGAGTAAATCAAATCCATGCCTGACTGTCACAGCAGGCTGCCCAGCCAGCAATCCCACTCTCATGATGGAAAGTCTAATCCGTGTCAGCCAATCTTGGCAGGTCTGACGATTGGTATAAAAGAATGTCCTGATAACCTTTGAAGACAGAAAAGAAGTTTCACAACACCATTCTTCTGCAGGAACCAAAACAGTTAATATTAAGTACATAGTATTCATAACAAGCAAAGATAGGAAGATTTCTTTTCTCCTGCTGATTTTTCAACTGAGAGGTGAAGAAACAGCTAAAATTCTGGGTCATTAATTTCATGAATGCAGATGGTGTGAAATCACACGAGGCAAGCAACTGGCCTGGCACACTGGCAAGCCAAAAGTCCTGACATGAACAGACTACAAATTATATATTACTGTCATGCTAAAGTCTGATAATTAAACAGCTTATTTCAACAGGAAAGATGCTCTGCAGTTAGAAATACACAAACTGGTGTGTTGTTTACAAATAATACTTAACATTCCTCAAAGAGCAATTTAGAGCCTCAAATAAGTGTGTTACTTTGTAACAAGAGTGCTGACAATCTACAAGTAAGTGACTGCCACAAATCAGACTTCCGACAGACTTTGTATCACCATTCAATCTGGGACTCCAGAAATAAAGCCTGGTTTAACATGCCCTCTAAGAATAAGCCAAAGTCAAAGCCAAACTATTTTAAGACTCTCAAACTTTGCTTGAAAGTCTTTCTGAAGTTCCACAGTTAAGAACTGAACAACCCTGAAAACACTGTTCATTCAATAGATTGCTTCAAGTAACATCAGCACTGTAAGAGAGACAAACCTTGGGGGGAGAGGTAAGGGCATTGGCACATCCTTCATATGCATTGTACATCAATTTTTCCAAGTTCTCCAGATACTGCAGGAGGAGGACAAGCCTGAGCTGGTTGCTACTGTGCCCTTCGTCGTTGTCTGCAGTAGTCCACTGGCTAACATCCTGATCAGGGTTTAATGTATGTGCTGCAAGGCTCCTAATAATACCTACATATTTGACCAAAACATGGGGAAAGGAGAGTTAACAGATGGCAATGTATTTAAACAAGGCAAGGGATAGCAATGCTATTTCTCAAAATCTATCAAAAGTTATCAGTAATTCTGCAACATCTTTAAAATCTGTCATCCCTGAAAATAAAGCCATTGTGCTTCTTGGCTTGGACATCAAGACCTTAGCTTCACCATCTTAGAAAAAAACAAAACATCAAACTATTTTTTTTACTTTACCTTCAATTGTCTGAAACGTATCTTGGGCTCTGCCCAGAGGAGTTCGTAGCTTTGACAGCACAGTGAACTGAGCTGCTTCCCAAACAGCCCATTGCCAGAGCACAGCATCAGTCTTCAGCAGGTTCCGAGGGATGGTTGGCTGATCTCTCTTATCTATTCTTTGACAGCTATAGAATAACCTTTCTAACCAATTATCCTTCCTGAAAGCAAACATCAGTACGTTAACACAAGTTCACAGGTTTATACTGTACACACTTCACCTTCCTATTGCTCTCAAATACATCTCACTAAATTATTTCCAAGCAGCAATGTACATAGACAAATATGCCAAAAAGTTGTTTAAGACATTTCTAGATACTTAGAACCATTTAAAAAAAATTAAAGTAAAGCAATATAATTTGTAAAGAAAATGACAAAATTTTAAACTAAATATAACTTGGAATTGCTTATTATAAATTCAACATTCATGGATTTCAGTTTTACAAGAAGTTCTTACCCAGTTCGGTGAGAGTTTCCATACAAAATAAAACTAATGACATCAGAGAAATCCTGCGGGTGGAATGTGTTACTTGGAGCTTTGCTCATATGACTTCTTATAGCCAAAGAAATTTCTTGTATTTCTGTGTGGGTACGGTTACTGCAGGAAGAGGGGGAAGGGGAAACAATCCATGCTATAATGCACTTGAATAAAGCAAATAAAGTTGTGCAAAAAAGTTATACACACAGACATATATGCAATGAGTGGAAATAAGTATATGCTTTGGCATTAAGACAAAGTGCTCTCAGAATTCAGGTTTTCAAGACAAATTGTAGGACATAATATTGCTGAAAGTCCGGATAACATGGACCTTACAAGAATACATATTTGCTGCAAGAAGTGATGCATAACTTATCAAATTTAATTACTTTGTGTACTACCTACTGTTCTTAAACCTGTACAAAAGTAGAAGAGATAACAAGACACTTCGCACTTGCTGGTTTTATATTAGGACAGAATGAAGACATCCCACTGGCATTATTTTTCAGCTAAGTGCCAGTCAAGAAAAAAATGAAACCATTCTTTACATTGAATTTCATCAGAAGAACTTACCTCAACACAACATCTAAAGGAATTGACTTCAGAAGTTTTCCAAACGTTTGCCTTACACGAGCACCACTGTGCACCAGTTGGACACGGCACACATCAACACACCTGCAGCACCAAAAAGGGAAAAGGTGCTAAGATCTCCTTTAATAGGAGATGTTATTAATTCAAATAACATGCAGAATTCTGTGCAAGTACCTTTGTAAAAGGTCATCTGGAAGGGAGGAAGACAGGGCATGGAGGCTACTACATGCTTGAAGACAAATGTTGACATCTTCCAGAAGTGCTGAATTAAGGAGTTGAAAGAAAAAAAAGTTATTCTTACTAGAATTAACTAATTTCTGCATTACTCTGATTGTGACAGAGCATCTGAAGACAGTTTTACAGCACAGCCAGTGAAAGGAGACACAGACTCTAAGCAATAGTTTTCATTTGATTTCCTTGACTGGTTTTACTATGACAAGTAAATGCTTAGTAAAAAAAAGTCAGTTATGCTGCCAGTTTCACTAACAACTCATGGGCATTTTCTAACTGCTGACAGATAATTCCTTCTATGCTCTCCACAAATTGGCATTATAGATAATGTATCTCAATGAAAAAAAAATAAGGCAAAGTGACTAACTCCTGGCCTTGGGAAGTTACTGTTTGTGCTAGTATTATGCTACTCAAAGGATTTGTTCCCATATTTATGTCTACAGCAATCGAAAGCAACACATCACATTATGGAGTGAATCCAGTGCTTTTGATAAAATAGTAATTTGTGACTGGGAAACTCATCTCCCAAAAATATCAGTGATGTGTCAAATGTTATTTGTAAAATGGCATTTTAAGAAAACTGCTTACATAAGTAACAGACAGGGATCCACTTGGAAAAAAGTATAAAAGGAGTGTAAGTTTTTGCACAATACTGACTTGAAGCATCCCTAAAGTACACAGAACAAGTACAGTTACTGCTATAGTGGGACAAGGTCACTTATGTACTTAATCACGCAAAGGAAAAGACAGTTAAGTAAAAATATGCAATATCTTACTGTTAGCTAAAAGTCCTTTACAGAACTTATGAAAAGATGGGAGAGAAAATAACGGTGCATAGGTTTCTGATTTTTTCATCAGAAGAGCCACTTCCAAAGCCCACGTTGTAAGTAGTTTCCTTCAAAAAACAAGAGCATTAGTCACTCTGCACTTACAGAGAGGTATCTCCAACATAACAAACTGCTTCATGTTCAGATCAGGCTTATGCTGTAACTCATTTTTTAAACAAAATGTTTCATAACTTTGAAAATGTCCCTACACAGATAGGTGTGTCCCCACCACACTATTTGGTAATACAGGATGGCAACTGTTGTAAAAGGGTACTGCCAGTGAGCAAAGCCTTTTTGTCAGCTAAATCTGATAGCTCTGCTTTTATTGTAGATCTTAGGATGGTTTAAACTTTTCTAGTGTCCATGCATAAAAATGAGCAGCTACATTTTCCACAGATATCTCAATATTAATGTCTAAGAATACCCAAATACTTGACTGGTTAAATTTACCACAAGTTTTACAGGTTAAAATTCTCTTGGTTTCTAAATTAAGGCATTCTACTGGAAAAAAAACTTGTAAGAAATGTGAAGTTACCTACCTGGTATCTTGAGTAAGGTTATCCTTCTTAAGCAGTAGTCCCAAAAGGTTTAGTATGATTGAGAAATGTTTTTTTGTTGCTGTGGTTACAGTACTTATAACTGCTCCATCAAACAGAGAGGGAGAGGAAGAACTGAGGCTACTGGAAATGAAATGGTCGTGCCTGGAAAGGCAAGGAAAAACAAAATGTCAAACAAATCCCAAGTATTTTGATCCTCAGCCTAAAAGAATTGGTTCATGCAGCCCAGCAACCTATTTTCAACCCTGTCCTGTATCCAACACTTACTTAAAACCCACCAAAGCTAAGAAATATACAGAGTAACATTTAAACTAGTATATTCCTTTGACAACATTTTGCATTAATCAAGTCAGAAACCTATTTACATCTGCTGTTTACATCCCATTACCTCTCACAGCTACCTCAGTTACCAAAACAGTAAATAATCTTTCCTTATTTACTTTCAGTAGAGTTTTCCCTCAGTTATTTCTATCCAAACATAAGATTTCTAATCTGCCTTTGAATAGAATGCCAGCTTAAAGCCAGGATATGCTTTCTTGGCTAAGATACAAACTCCCTGCAATTGAAGTAAAAACTGATTAGGGAAGTTTGGGCAAAAGCTTGATTGTAGTAGCCTATTTAAATTCATCCCTCCAACAATATATTCTGTTCACATCAGGCCATTTTAGTGCTCTTAAAATCCTGATGAATTATGAAATGCCATACCTGGAGCAGTGTGAATACAATGTATAGAGTACTGCATACTGGACAGCAGGAAAGTGAACTGCTATGTCACCATGAACAATCATCAGATTTTTACTCAGCAGTGCAAACACAGTTGGCGAAAGGGCCCACATCTGTGGAACAAGTGCAATGCAAGCAAAGAAACAGAATGAACAGGGTCTATTTTTAAGTGCAGTTTCCATAACTTTAATTAGTGTGTTTGATTTTTCCCCATGGGAAATAATTAAACTTTATTACATTCTGACCTTAATTGCAACTATTTTCTTTCTCCATTTTAACCAGTCTGGTAAAAGCAGCTCATGGTTTTATTTGGAAAGGTCTGAATAAAGTGTTTTCCCATGGCTGATAGACTACCAAAGGACACACTGAAGCTGCTTTATTCTGTCTTGATTTTCAAAAACAATTACTATGATGATCTTAGAATCAATCCATTAATAACCCTGATAAGATGCTTAATAATAATGCATATATAATAACTATCATCATAATAATGATAACCTTGGAAACTGCTTCTCATTATGCACCAACTAGAGATACAATCCAGTTATAGTGTTCTCCTAAGTCTTAATACTGGAAGTGTTTCTATAACATAAGTTAGGAGATAAATATTACCATTTTAATTCTACATACGTGTCCTACTGGTCTAATACATTAAGGTATATTTTAAGCAATAAAGTATTTTTCAAAGTTCTTGCACAAGCTATAAGAGTTTTTACTCACCCCAATTAATGAGTTCTTAGCATTTCCAATAGTACTTAGAGCACTGAGGTCAAATATAACAACAAATTTTGCATTATCCACATTGGATATAAGCTTCTTGAACGAGTCATGCTGGATTTCAGAACAGGCCTCAGGAAGATGTAAACTATAGAGAAGACTATTTAGAGCACAGGTCATTTCTCCCAGAATCAACCTGTAAGCAGTCTCCAAAACAGGAATGTTCTTCAGGCTCAATACAGCTTGGTACACAGCAAGGGCTGCTGCAACAACCTTGAGGATATAATCATAGTAATAACTGATTAAACAAAATCATAAAATATACTAATCAGCAATAAAGAATTTTAAATTACTCTTCTCTATCACTAGCCTAGTCTGATACATATATCTCTCTTTGGTTTTCTGTAATTGAGTACCAGTTACTTACAGAACCTATCAATCACTTTGCTGATCACCAACCTAACATACTGAGTATCAAAGTCAGACCAACTAAGGACTTCTCCATCTGGAGTGATGACCAATTTACCCATTCCTTACCAAATCTAAATGCTAAACCCAAGAACTAGCTATATCTGCCTCTTCAGAAGTTCCATGGATGTTTATTTAGGTTAAAAAATATTATTAACAAATTTTTACAGCTTAATATCTTCCAGGAACAGCATGAAGGCTGTGGTAATACACCTGGAAAAGGCACTTCCTCTTACCTCTCTCTCCTTATGATAACGAAGAACAAGTAGTTTAGACTCTGGTATAAATAATTTCTCTACAAATGATGATGGTAGTTTTGTATTTATTTGTTCAACAATCTGGGGATAAAAACCAAAATGATAATTAGCTTTACCTGAATTTTCGTTCATTATTTAAGACAAATTAAATACTGGGTTTCTAGTTTATAAACAGTTTCCCAGCAATTCAAGTATTTTGTATTTGCTTGCCCAAAATTCACATTCAGAGAATTAGTTATTTTCAGGCTCTAACAGCACAGCTGAGAAAGTTGTGTGATTAACTTTGATCAATGCAGGATTAAGAATTTGTGACCTACACATTAAGTGCTGTTTTGAAGAAGTTTGACTTCCCAGATCATAAGTATATAACTACAACATATTAGGCACTAAGATTCTGAACTTCTTCAGGTGGTGCTAACAACTGCACAGGCCAGAGAATGGTACTGTCCACCAGTCAAGCCAGACATGAAAGGGAGAAAAAGGAAAAAGCCCCAAATAACAACAAAACAAGCACACCAGGAAACAGGAGCACTCAGGCTAAAACTAAATGCCACTTCATCAACAAACCAAATGCATAAACAACCTAGCAGCATAAACTTTACAGATAAGCAGCATAATAGGAATTTCTTGCTTATGATCAGGAAGTAAATATTTATCAAAAAAAGAGAAAATAGCTTAGAAAAAAATTTTTTTACATGCAAAACCCCCAGAATAATAAAAATATGTACAAACCAGTGTCAACAGATTCAGGACTGAAATGACATAATCAGTGCAACAAGTCTGACAACTCTCCATTTGATCTAATCCATATGTGATGACCATGTCGCAGTGTATGGTCATGCTTGGATCTAGGCTGCCAAGTAAAACCCCAACACACTCATTGGCAGCTGTAAGTACAGCTTCAGAAAAGAACACTTGGTTTGCTGCAGTCACACATCTCATTACTCTGTACAGCACCTGGAAAATTAAAAACACAGCTGACTTAAACTCCATTATAAAGAACTAAGTACTACATGCTATTTTGTTACATTCACATCCATTTGATATCCTGTCCCATCACCTGCACTGCACCTTGCTCAACTCTATTCTGACTTATGCACATCATGGCATTACACTTCACAAGTGCAAGAAAATACAAATTTTCAATTGTTTGGTTTATGATTCAAAGACCTAGAAAACTTAAATTCATTATTCACAATCCTGTTCAGTGCCAACTGATACCAACAAAACTCCTCTTGTAAAAGACAGACTAGTTTTCTGGAGCTTTCATCACAAGAATCCTCTGCAGATTAAGGCAAAAGTTACATAACTCTCTTGTCTTTAACTGGGAAATCCACACAGTTGTTTATTCAAAATGTTGTGTCCTTCAGAGAATTCTACAAGGGCATAAACTCCAGTTGTGCAGCTCAGGCAACAACATGATTTTGACTACAAGTATTTATATCTTACCTCCCTCTCTCCTGCAGAACTGTAGCAGCTACTTAGCATACTATACAGTATTTATTCTGAGTTTACACCATCCTATACTATAGAACAGGATGAGCTTGCTGTAAGATTGGATAGATACAATTTCAGCATGAGTAAAAAAGACTCGTTTTTTTAAATCGAACTCACAATCTGAATTCAAGTTCTTATAGCATCATAATTATCTGAATAAATGGTAACATGGTTTCAACGACTAACAAGCATAAACCTAACCATGTGAAGTTCAAATGCCTAAAAAAGTTAGTTTCTGCTATATGACTTCCTAACACAATCTACACCTTCATATTTGATAAAACTACTGTAGCATATTTCTTTGAGAAAACTGATTTACTCATAGCTAAGAAGATACAGATTCATGTACAATTTGTAAAACCTAAATAAACTGAACAATGAATTACATAATTATACGGCAAGAAATCATGTCAGGAATGAAGGAAAACAGAAAGAAAAACTTGAATTCTTACATCAGTTACATATGCTTCTGTAATTGGTGGTCCTCTGATGGGGCTGAAGCGCTCCCCAATGCTCCTCACCACAGTACTGAACACCCGAAGAAGTGCAGCCAGTTTGGGCAGTGACACTGAGGGAGGAGGAATATCTTCATCTACTGACTCCCCAGAAGCCACATGGCTGAGGTCCTACAGCACACAAGGTTCATGCATCAGTGCACATCATTAACTGCTACACATGGATAAAAGACCAAAACACGAGACTGAAAATACTTCATTTATTTTCCAGACAATACTATCCAATGATAGATGGACTTCTCCAATAACTGTAACCACACACACATCTGAAGGTGGGATATAGGCACACAGGGGCAATGAGCAGTCATAGAGCAGTAATAAAATGCTGCTCATTACTTTAGCCACTGAATCAGAGTACTCAGACTATATCTGGCAAATTAAAACAGAAATTTATCAAGTTCCTGGTCCCTGGAACATAATCATCCATACTGCTGCACTGTTACAACAGCTGTCTGCACTTTTACCACTCTCTAAAAAAAATTCCCATTCACAAACTGGAGTCAGGATGTAAACAGTGTGGTGGGAAAGTCCAGACAAACATGTAGCTACCTTGATCTGGAGACAGAGTTTACTAACAGACTACTGCATGCCAGCTGGCACCAGTGCCTGGGAACATTCCCAGAAATGCTGATCTCATTAGCATAGATGCAGCCTTGGTCTACCCCACAGATAAAAACACACTTGCCGGAACAACCTCCGTCATGACTTAACACATGTTATCTTAAAACTCTGCCCTGACTGAAATACACACATTGACCAGTTCAGCAGAGAAGTTGATATACTGAGATTTACTGCACTGATCTGTGAATCCGAACACTTAAAAGCTGCACCATCAGAAGCCTTGGTGTACATCTAAGTACACTGATCAAACTATTCATTCTGCTTCAAGTGAAACAGATTATGCACAAAGTACAATTTTACCTACAGGATCCTCATATTAACGTGATGTAGTATAATCCAGCTCTAAGTGCATATATACACATGAGCACATATACCTTAAAGGACAACACTCCCCCAAACCCCAAAACTCTTCCTTTAATGACTGCATCAGATAAACTCTAAGCCCTGTTAACCAAGAAAATGTTACAAAGCCAAGACAAAGTATGTTAAATGAATATACTTCAATTTTCTATCAATTCCTGCTACATTTTTTCTGCACAATATAATCATCTACTTTATTTAGAAAAAAAAACCCCAACAAACAGATTTATCACTAGTCTACAGAAGCATTAAAAATCCCTCTCTCCCCCCAGTAGTTACTATAGCTGAAAAACTCTGAAGTTGGACAATTAAAGGAAACACCAAGGAAAGACCATCAAAGGTCTTTATAAATGAAGGTTTGGTCAATTGCTTTTAGTTTTATTGCCACATGATATTCTCAATGAGCAATGGCTGAAGGCCTGGCCATGATACTACTGAAGTAGTTAATAAGAATTTGTGCAGAATGGTCATTCTACATGCACTCAGTACACTCCATAATCTGACTCTCCTTGCCCCAAGAAAATCATGTAATTTTATCTTCTACAGATGTGGCACAGCCATAAGAATCACAGCTGTGGATTTATTAAGAAAACCATAACAGTTAACTCTGATATATGCCATAAAGTCTTGTTTACCTCAGCATAAGCTTCCATATCTTCCAAGAACTGACCCAAGAGTGTGGTAGAAAAAGTAAGATCAGCCACCCAAAAGGGCTCCAAGCTCTGCAGCCATCCTGTATAAAAACACCAGGCCAATTAACACAGAGGAACAAGGTAACCTCAAACATTAAATTTTAGTTGCATATTGCTGAGGGAAAAGTTGCTAAGGTAAGAGAAGGTCACCTGCAGGGAAATTTTAACCTAAGTCTTTCTTTGAAATAAATATGAATTGTATCTCCCTCTTATGTCCTTCTGGAAAATTAATTTTAAGGTTCAGTTCTGCCCCACAGCAGTTAAACATTAAGGACAGAATCTAGGACTAACACAAGAAACATAACAGACTTGCTGGGAATAACTCCCAAGACAACTCCTATAGCTGTAAGAAAAAACTTCCTTGTTCTTTTAAATGCCAGCACAGTATCTTTACCACACAAATTTTCTGGAAGCACTTAGGAGAAAACATATCCTTTCACAGAGAATATATTAAGATCTATAAACTTAGTAAAACTTGTTATAAAGTTGCACCAAAACCAACTGATGCTTAAATGTACCCTGAATTGCATTTTTCCAGATAAAGCATAAAATGGCAAATACAAATTTACTAAAAAGTTAGGAACAAAGCCAGAAACTCATTCTGGTTTTACCTCAACTTACATGTCAGTAGAACCAAACTTGTGTAAGCCAACTCACACCATCTGCAAGCCAGAGCAGACTACAACAGTGGCCAAACTTACCAGACACCTGCTGTGTCAAGGAAGGTTTCTGAGTGTGATCTATGTGCCATCCAACCAGTATGTCCACTGTGTCCTGGAAAGCAATTGTGAAAACAGATCCATTACCCAATTTGCTGCACCAGTATTTCTATTCAAGAAACAAAATACAGAGGACTAACTAAACTTACCCTAAAATTGGTGCTGAAAATGTGCGGGTAGCATCGAGACACCAGAAGGATGCACTTGACACATTTGCACAGTAACTCCGGTGTATCAACATTTTCTAGAATGGTCTGCAGGCTGGTCATTACAAGCTAAAAAGCAAAGCAAAGCCACTAGACATTTCACTTCATTAAAACAACATGAGAGCTATGGTATTAAGAATCATGGATTTATTCAGTGTTGAGCACGTTGCAGCAAACTACTTTGATTTAAACAACAGATAGCTCAATACTCTTTCTGCAGGAAGAAAAATATGACAAGTATCACATGTACTTCATGAAAATAATCACTACAAGTGGGCATTTGCTTGAAATATGGCAGACCAAGCTTGAAGGCTTGGGGGACACTGTTCTCTTTAGTTCTTCAGCCACAGAACAACTAGTTGTTTTAAGTTCCCATTTCTACTGCTGAAGTTTCTTGGCTCTGTAAATATTAAATTGGAGCCCAGACCTGGACATTGATGTTCTACATCCAAAATAACAGACCCTAGAGCTTGAGTAAGTGGACCAGATTTTGTGTGCACACATCCTCTCAGGAGTTTCAGGTTAGAAACTGTAGATAGGAGGTAGCACAAAGATATCAAAAGGTTGGGTTCTGTGTACCACCGCACTTGAGTTCTCCTTTTGGTCTCAACAAGATTATATTTCTTGGATCTGCTATATATACAAAAGGTTGCATCAAAATACATCTCATCCTACAAAGACTTGACATTCCTTCCTAATGTAATCAGAATCAAAGAATCCCATTCAGTCAAAAAGTTCCCTCCCAGACATAATTATATTTACTTATTATGTCAATATAGCATTACTTACTGTTCATTACAGTTTAAAAGTTCACTCAAGCATTGCACTGGAAAAATCATTAATAATCCTGTTTTAACTTGTAGTCTTACCTGCATTAAAGATGAAAATGCTTTCTTTTCTCCTACAGTCTCTAGTGCTTTGTAGGTTGCACACAAATAAAGAAGTTTAACTTCATCTTTTGTGGATGAACTGAATTTGCTAAAAATCCATTTAAAGATCTTCTCAGCCTCATAGCTCAGAGAAGCACAAAGAAGGCCAAGACAGCAAGCTCCTTCCTGTCTCAGTTCTTGAAGCAATTTGCTACTGTAATTTTGAGTAAAAAAAAAAAACAACTTGGGATCTCCAGACATAACAGCAGAACAGAAGAAACTATGAACAAATTAAAGCATTTAATAAAGCAAAAAAATATATGTCTGAATGAAGCTGCTTCTCTCCTACTTCCTGGCAGCAGTGAGGAAGCTAAAATAAAATTCTATGAAGTATTATTTCTATGGAATAAGTCAACTTGAATAAAAGTATGCAACAGATGTGCTGTTGCACTTGCAACACATTATCCAAGGAAAAATTTCTTGACATGCAGCTGACTCTGGATATTAACACTGATCTAAGCACCAAAAAGCCCACACACACCAGAGCTCCCTCTACATATGCTCTCAGTTGGAGGTCAATGAATAAAGCTTGTAAAGAAACTTGAGTTTGCAGCTAGACAACCACAGCAGCTCACTACTACACCTGGGTGATTAAACCCAGCTGAGACACTTCACATTACCTGCAACATCAAACCACACTGGTGCATTCACTTTCTCTTCATGGGAAGTGTACTCTGGACAGGCTAACAGTATTGCTGATACGCCCAAGAGACTTTAATCCCCCCCAATTTCCTTCTGTTCCTGCAGTGTCACACCCATGCAAAATTAGTGTACCTTTCAACCTTTCCCCACTCCATTCCAAACCTAGTGCTGTCATTCTTCTTCCTCTTTAAAGCCTTCCAACTGTTTAGTTTTTCCAGCTTACCTTTCATTGAGTACATCATGAATGGCAGTCAGGATATTATCCAGTTGTTTAACTAGTACCTATAAGATACATAAAAGGCATAAGCATACTAATGACCCAACACGGCCTCCACACCAGGTCCTGTTTACACCCACATTAAACTCACCACTGCCAATTCTGCTTGCCAATAGAATGCTATTATGCTTTCCCTGGCCACTGCAGACAAGCATGAACTATATTAAGCAATACTGCAATATTATCCTAGATGTTATATTTCGTATTTATTTACAGTAGCCATGAGAATACACTGGCAGCCTGTGATCAAGGTTTGTTCTATGTTTAGCTCTTGCTGGTAACATTACATCACAAAAGTAAGACTTGCTATACAGCTCATGAGCAGTGTCCACTGAAAACCAAATCTCTTACACTAATAATCAAGTGTGTCAGCAGAAAATTTAATGGAACAAATAATATAATCTGAAAGATTAAAGTTTCTACTTAGGCAATCCTGAATTTCAGCGAAAGGGAGTACTGTTTTGGGGATGAAACATCACTGATGAATCAGTGCTTCCCAGTAAACATAACCACAAATCCTTGTGTTCCTAACATGCATCAACCCCCACCACATTAGTGAGCTGATTGCAAAATCATACATTAGCTGCAACCGTGTAAGATATTAACGAGAAGTTTCCTGACAAGTTAATAAAAGGATTGGCTCTCTTTTCTTCAGAAATACATTCATCTTGAACACAGTGGATGTCACCCAGTTTTTGCTGCAAGTTTTGAGCAACATCACACAGAGAGAGGTCTCCATGCTTGGCCCCTCAGAATTCACAAAGACATTAAAAAATATGCCTGATGTCTGCAAAAGAGGCTACAAAAGAGACAGGGGAAGGCAACTAGATAATTTAGAAGCTGGAGCACAAGGCCATTAGATGACAAGTGACTACTGACTTTTACTACTTTACTTTGTTGAACACACATTTCAACCCTGAGAAAGAAAAGAACTCTGATAAACTACTCTTAATAGTGTCGAGAACTGCAGGAGCTACTGCTAGGTCAAACACTGTCCATTATAAAGTTTGAGGCTTGACATCATGAATACCACTTGACATCTGATCTTATTCTCACTAGTGAGCTCAGAGAAGTTTAAAAAAAGTTTCTTGGTGACAGGCTTTTAACATTCTGGCCACTAACAAAGTTTGTCACCACTGAGTGAGACATTGGAATGGCAGTTCCAGTATGTTCTAAGATACCAATAAACCTAAATCAAATGCAGTTACCAAAAATAAGACTGACAAAAACCGCACAAAAAACTGGGGGAAAACACAGTGAGAATAATGAAACTAATTTAATGAATCCAACCACAGAATATCTGTAAAGAACATTTACTCCCTAAACCCTTGTAGTAACAGGGATTTCGTTTTAGAGGAAAGCTGAAGTATTAGCTATGCTTGCACAGGGGCTGCTTGCACCTAAGTGCACAGACTAGAAAAGTCTCAATATTTAAGCACTGTGCCTTTTGGAAAAAGCACAATTATCACTGGTTAATTAACACATAATGAGAGAATGAACCAGACATATCCCAGAACTGAAACATCAGAGCACTGCCTGTAAATGAGTGGCAGGGTATTAAACCATCACTTCCTGCTTTTTCGGTACTTGGAGAACTCCTAAGGGGAGATGTGTCAGATACAAGACTAATACTTCATTTTGAAATAAGTAGTATTCAAAATGTATACCCACAGTGGGATAATTCCCTCCCCATCCCCAAGTCCTTAGGAAACACTTGAGGACATTAGAGACTTCAACAAACCATTAAAAATCTAAAAACGTAACGAAAACAAAGACTTATTTACTTCTCTTCCCATAAAAGGGAACCGACAAAGGTGCTTAGTTAGAAAGCTAACAAGACTAATAGCTGTGTATTTTTAATTTAAATACAGAAACAATTCTTGAAGACAACACATTTTACTTCCTTTTCCCTGTTTCCTAATGAAAGATCCAGAGAATATTGCTAAGACCAGTCAAAAAAAACCCCACATGCCATATCTATTCCTACAGCTGATGCATTCAGCAGTTTGGTTTAAGGCAGGACACTAAGTAAGCAATAATCCTGAATTATGGAAACAAGACAGACAATCCAGGAATACACTCTCCTTTCCTACGGAATGAAATTCCTTGTACACAAGATATTCCTTGCAGACATTCTCCAATACTCAGATTTTTAAAAAGACAGTTTCATAAAATGAGAAATATTCCAGTGTTATGGAAAAGGAAAAATTACTAACCGGTTTGTTTTCTGATTGCTGAATGAATTCTTTCAGTTGCTTTACAGTCGCCAGTCTTCGGTCTCTGTCGTCTTCCCGAGTAATCCTCCGAAGAAGATTTGACAGTCGAGACTCGTCAGAATAAGACAACGATCGCTCTGGAAAAGGTAATTATCTGATCAATAACTCCTGCATTATCCAAAACATGTATCTGTGAACTCAGCAAGCCATACTAGTAATTTGAGAAAAAATATAAAAAAGGAATTGTGATTAAGCTTAAACTTAGCAAGAAGAAAGTTAAATGTAAAATCTAATTTAGCTACCAAAATATTTCATTTCTTCCCATGGACAGCCCCAGTACCTGTGTAGAATTCGTCTGGATCTAAGCAGAACTGTTCTACACAAAAAAACCCTGGATTTAGTTCCTTCTACATAAATGGAAAAGGGTGTGGTAAGGTTAAATCAGACTCCTGACTGAATCTATAAACAAAAACAATCCAACAAATACTACTGAAGGAAAATGTGGAAAAAACAAGCTGCTTCTTGAAGCAAAGAACCAGATTTAAGTTCAAGTGACTATGAAGAAACAAGGTTTTCTCTACTGTTTTGGCACAAGGTGGAGGATTATGAGCTGGTCTCTGATAGCCAACAGAGCTCTGTTTCAAAAAGGGAGATAGAACTCATCTTCCTTTACGGAGGAACAAAAGCCACAGTGTGCAGAGGTGCAGTGGCTGTTTGCTTAAGTGGATCATAATGCAGGAGAATTAACAACTTCCTCAGAAAACATTTAAGTTGACCAACAGCACTCCTGATACCAGAGGAGGTCACAACTCAGCTTACCAGCTTTAGGTACCAATTACCTGTGAATTCATACAAACAATTCATTTCCCCCATTTGCAAAAAGGAAACAAAGTTTCTTTCAAGAAGTTTAACTTTAGATGTTTCATGGTGGTTAGCATTAGAGGATTCATGGAACACGATGAGGTTTTCTTAGTCAACATGACTAATGAGAAAATTCGAGACAACTGTGGCCTTTTGCTGTGGTATGTTACACATCAGTCATCTCATGAGAGCAGCCATAAAGACAACCTGGTTATACTGGAAAAATACTGACAGAAGATGCCTGCCAGCCTGGGAACCTGGAGCATCCCTGAAGGGCAGTTGGGTACCTAAGAGCACGAGACACCTCGAGATACCCTTGATAAGAACAAAACCAAGAAACTACAACAACAAATCTGTTGTCTGTAAAGATGGAAAATAGACAGTAATGGTGGAAAACATTCTGGGAAAGCAGGAATCAGCAACAGCTATTGGCTGCTTCAGCTGGAAAAACAATAGCAAATGGGGAAATCAAACTGGTCTGAGAAAATAAGAAATAGCATCATCTATGCTGCTCCAGGTGAAAACCAGCAGCTAGTAAAAGCTACTGGTGGCTCTGAGTGGTTACATCCTACACTCCCTTTTATGTCTAACAGTATAAAAATAACTTGATTGCTACTCAAAATTAAGCTTCTCCCCGAGATCTCTCCTTGCAAAGACTTTACTCTGTGAGATCTGGTGGGCAGACTGGACCCTCACTGCAGATGCCTGACTTGACTCCCAGACCTGTGACACAGATCATCTCTGAAGTGAGATTTTGACTGTCATCAGTCATCGCCACTGCTGGGAGAAGTGTGGTGAGTGCTGCACAAGTCATACTTGAACAGTATATAGGTGTGCATGCAAGTAACTAATCATAACTATAGACTTGCTTTACTAGTGGTAATTTGCAGTACCTTGAAATAAATTTAAGAAACAAAACCCCTTTGTGTCCTTGTGTATTACAGATCCTATGAAGCCACCCACAGGCCAGTAACTCTCCTAAGTCATGACATCTAAGGAGAGCACGGCTTCTGCCTCATAGTCATGAACAATATTCTCAACCTTATTTTCATGTCTCTATTTTTTGAATTTTAAAATAACAGTATGAACAAAATAGGCTTTGATAATCTGTTTCTTGTCAGGCATCAGTTTAAGCAATTAATTTTGAATACACCTGACATTCTGAAGGATTAGGCAGGCTTAGTAAACATTAAAATAGCAGTAAGACTCTGAAGGATCAAATCTATGTTTTATTCCTAGCCAGCACAACTACCCAAGGCATGTTGAGATGCTATCTGACAGGCATGAACAGCCTTTCTTTTGAGATGTCAGTGACTTTATGGAAGACTAAGGCATACACAGCCATTTAGGAAGCATTGAGATTCTTTTCCCTTGCTTTATCTAGACGCCACAGTCTTCAGTAGTGGACAAAATGCCACGTTTCTGGTGAGAAACCTAAAAGGAATCATGATCAACAAGGACATCTTCTGAAGCAGCAGCTGAGGTCTTCCAGAGAGATGGTGTCAGACCAATAACTACAATCCCTGCTAGATGGAAACTTGCATGGGAACATCTTGTATTTCTGCCCAGAGCTGAGCTAGCAATTGTAGTCCAAGGCTTGCCTGCCAGTGGTCCATATATAGCCAAACTTCAGAAAGATGAACCTAATGCAATTATCAATCCAAAAAAATTTAATCAGCCCTGGAGATGAAAGAAAAGGACTAGAAGGAACACTGATGCCTGCCCAGGGGTGTACCATGCCTATCATTTCTTTAAAACCCGGGCAGAAGTAAAGGGTCACCAGACCTCTGTTCAAATGGAACAGTTTGGAAACAAAACATGTGCAAACAAGAATGGAAGTTTTTTTTAAAGCTTGATTATAAAGAAAATTACACAGACTACAATACACAAGATAAGTGCAACTGCTAGTCATGAATAATTCTACATGAAAACTCTGCTAGAGAAGCAGTTTACATTACTGAAGGGATCCTGAAAACTTAAGCAAAGATATACTAGATCTAAAAAAAAAAGATCTAGCATATAGACTAAAAAAAGTCCCCGCTCCTGTCCCTAAAAACACTGATTGACTCTTCAGTGTGAGATGAAAAGCCAACAGTAAGTATAAGCCTTGAATTAATTAAATTCACAACTTGCAACTTTTTAGTGCTGTCTTCTGTCCATTTAAATCTTTGTTTGTAATCTCTCCATGGAAACCCTGATTTTTTAAAATGGTTGTGATGTTCTACACACAATAAAAAAAAATACTGAAACCAGAACGGTATAAATAAAACCAACGCCATCACCAAGGTTGCTGGTACGAGACACATTTAAGTGCTGACAGAATAAGACACACTGTTCAAAACTTTCAACTAAAGCACCTTTGGTTTTATTCAGTTAATATCTAATGAGCATTGGCATTACTCCCCAATAGAGTGTCATGTATTTGTTGAGTTACAATCATAACCTTAAAAAAGCCCCACAAAACACTAACCAAGAGCATGACTAAAGCTATACCAATCAAAGCTCTAGTTAATGAACACCTGTATGACTCCCACTTCATGAAAAATCAGCAAGGTCTCAGCCACATGTTAACTCACTCACAGAAGACTATTTTTTAAATTGCTTAATGCATACACTAACAATAAAGTATTAAAGAATTTAAAAAATAAAACCCTGCTGCAACACAATCCCACTGTATTTTAAAGATTATATGAAAAACCAAAATCATAGAATCAACCAAGTTGGCAAAGTCCTCCAAGATCATCAAGTCCAACCCTACTGTGGTTACTAAAAGGACTAAATAATTTTTATATCAAGACACCAGAATGGGATTATAAAGTCTGAGTTTACTCCAAAGATCAGGTTTTTGAAACAGTCATGTCACCCCTTGCCTCAGTTCTTCTGCCTGCAAAGCACACTGAACACCCTTCTTTAATCTTTTGCCTCCTCTGAAACATAAATCCCTGAGAAGAAACACCATGTCCTAATACGTTTATAATGTGCCTGGCATAAAGCAGCCACAGTTTTTATCGCTGGCCCAACTACTACTTACACTAAGTGATGCAATAAACTACAGTGCTTAGTCATAACAAAGTTTCTATTTTCATTCAGAAGTCCTTGGAATAGCTTTCTATTTTTTTTTAAACTATGATTCAAAGCTCAAATAGTGGGAAGAGTGAAGCCTTCTTTCTCAAGCACACATGCCCAGCATTCTTGCACCCTCTTGCAACTCCAAATTTGTTCTCACTCCATCTCCCAAGGCTTTGCCCATATTCTTATGATGCCTCCAGTTCCTCCCTGGCCTCTAACCCTCAGCTGAGCAAGAGGGAGCATGAATTGTTGTAGGCTCACAAGTACACACTGAGTAATCAGCTGGTTCTGTGTGATGACTAGCTGACCTGCAGGCCAGTGACAACAGGTAACAGTTGAGCTCACCATTGCTGCTTTTCCCACACTAGGGACTCATTAATTAACTTTTTTACTCAGGCACGAATTTTCAACAAATTCTCCTTCTTAAAGCCCTTGATCTCTTTGCCAAATTTGGCTAACCTAAATAAGGGTTCAAAAGCTATTTAAAGGAAATTGAAAGATTGATAGCCTAAGCCATACAGTCAGAGATCTGCCTAACCTGTGGAGGAAGCCTCAGTGCGGGAACAGTAAATACAAGATGACAGTTTCCATCAACATCATCTATCATAAATCACAAAAAAATAAAATGTATTTAGATTGCCTAATTGTAGTGAACTTTGCATATTCTGAACACAACAAATGTTGCCAAAAAGAGAGACTCTTTTCCTGAAAATCTGTGATATCCTTACCTTGTGATTTCCTCATGTCTTTTGTGGCTAAAGCACGATTCCCATGTGGAACACTGGTAAAATCAGGATTGGTCACATTGTTAACTCTCAGCTCTTGCCCCAACGACTTCCGACCATAAGTATTTTCCCCAGATCCTCCATTGACACTGTAGCCACCTGTGGAAAAACCAGCATGACATTAATACAGGCTATCAGACCATGCATTTAGTAGGGTAGTGAGTTATGAGTTATTAAATTCATAAGCAAATTAGCAGCCCCATCCTCTACCACCTTCTCTGGTTTGCTTTTTCACTACCACATGCACCAATGTTTTGTTATGCCTTGTAAGTTTCCAGGTCACACATTCAGAATCTCATCAGTCTTTTTTGGAAGCACATGAAAAAAAGCTCTCTTGCAATGAGGCTTAACAAGGATTTTGTTGCATTTAATGTTTTCTTGTTATTATTTTGACCTTGCACTTTACAAGGCCTTTCCTGTCAAACTGCTAGAACACATGGCTAGATATGTTCACTTACTTGCTCCTTGATTATGCACATCAGATTTCCATTGTTTTATTATAATTCCAAACAGGCCCAGTAAAATAGCAAAAAAAAAAAAAAAAGCTTTTGAAAACCTAAATATTATTTGTATGTACAGACTGAACAACTTCCCCCTAAACAAAGTCAACATTTTCACACACTAATACTCACATTAATTAAACTCCATCCACATTCTCCCACTTGAGACACATCTTTGGTAACAATATAAAACAAAAATAAAAGTGTCATTTTGAGTCATTCAGTTAACCTTACTCCTAGATCCAAAAGAATATACATAATCAAATGTTGAGACTAAAAATCTTTCCAGCCTGACACATCACTTTGAGGGGAAGGGTCTTCCTCTCAGTGCTGTGCAGAAGTGAAACTGTCCCCTGAGCCTGCCCAATACTTCACTCGATGTGTTGGAGCTCACTTCCAAGGTAGCTTTCTACAGTGCCTTCCCTGCCTGAGACAGGGAAGAATCCAATTAAATTAAACCCAGGACAACAAAAGCTATGCAAGACTTCTTTCAGAGAAGGTATATCCACATGTCCACCTGCTTCAATATATAAAAGAAAGTCTGGGGAAAAGGAGAGGTGGCTCCCCCTAAAAAGAGGCAGCCTGCCAAGATAAAGGATGGCTAAAACCAAGTTCAAATATCAAGGTAAATCTGGACCTTAGTAGATATAAAGAATGTCTCTTGTTAAAAAGCAGATGTGAACCACTGGTAGACATTTGTGCATTTCTACACACACAGCACTACCCTATCATTACAGAAAACCCTGTGCAAAGTCTCAGCTGTAATTAGTTAATGACAATGACAGTAAAGATAGCTCATCTATATTTGAATTTACAACATTAACTCTTACAACTCAGTTTTTAAAGATAAACTTGCAGGAATTACCACCTTAACATTATTTTGTCATAATAAACCAACATTGTCCTATGAAGTTGGGGCTGTTCAGCCTGGAGAAGGTTGCATGGAGATCTCAGAGTAGCCTACCAGTATCTGAAGGGGCTGCAAGGGAGCTGGGGAGGGACTCTTTGTTATGTTAGAAAGTGATAGGATAAGGGGTAATGGGTTCAAATTGAAGGGGGGCAGTTTAGGTTAGATGGTAGGGAAAAGTTTTGTCACTGTGAGAGTGGTGAGACACTGGAACAGGATGTTCAGGGAAGCAGTGAATGTCCCAACCCTGGCAGTGTTCAAAGCCAGGGTGGATGAAACCTTGAGCAACCTGATCTAGTGGGGAGGTGTCCCTGCCCAGGGCAGGGGGTTGGCTCTAGATGATCTGTGAATTCCATTCCAATCCCTAAAATTCTATGATTCTATACTATGATTCTCTGAAGGAAATTTCTCCTAACTGCAATTCACACATTTAAGACTAAATAGAAGTCTTCAAAGCAACAAAGAAATTAGTTTAACTGATCATGCATTCAGGCCACAAACATCAACTATCAAAAACACACACACTACTATATACTACTGGAGTTCTTAAAGTTATTTCATACTTCTCCTCTTGCACACAAAACATCTCACCTTTCCTGGCTGTCTGCAAAGGCATGTAGCTTTTGCCTCAGCACACCTGGCATTACCTTAAATGAATTAAACACATACCTATATTCTTCCACTTGACACAGACTGTACATTTTTGGCATTTACTCCAAACCACAGTTTGTTTCAATAAAAACCAGCAGGACAATCAGGCTGTACAAACTATATTCTTTTGTCAATAAGGCTGTACAAACTATATTCTCTCTTTTCAATAATCTCCTGGTCTGAAAAGTTTTTCAAAAATCCCAATATATACATATTCCATTCATTTCCCTTTAAGTGTTAAAGCTCAGGCTAAATAAGAATATGATCAGTTATATGCCTGTTATTAATTTTAGCATAAATATGCAGACACCAGGACAGCGTAGTATCCTTTTAGCAGTAAGGATGGTGAGGCCATCATAGTTACAAATTAAAAGGGAAAAAAGCATTGCAGAAAGGACAACATCTCATCTCTAAGTAAAAACCCACTCTATTTCATTTCAAAACTGCACATCTTCTATCTTCCCTGTCTTGTTTTACAAAGTAAAGGAGAGAAGACAAAGGGAGAGCTCTAACTGCAGTAATTCCACTAGTTAAGGTGAAGAGCTATTTACAAAAACTAAAAAACCACCAGCCAAACTAATCTTACAGATGCAGAGCAAAAACACAGGAGTCAACAACCATAAGCTGCAGCAAGAGAAATTTGAACTGAGTATGAGAAAACAATTATTTACCAGAAGAGTAGTAAAGCACTAAACAGGCTCCCTAAGGGAGGCTGCAGAACCTCCCAGCTTGAAGGTTTTCAAACCTGATAAACTTCCAGAAATTATCAATTTGGGAGTAATTTTTTATTATCCACACCAGCAACTGGAGGGAAGGAGGTGGTAGGGAGTGCATGGAAAATCTTGAAGGTCTTAAAATGAAAATTCCATGTTGAGAGACTCCAACAGATGAACTGAAAACTTGTAGTTAACAAAGAAAATATTCTGCATCTGTAAGCTTACAAACTTCTCCAAAAATAAAAATAAACTAGAGATACCTGGAATTTGGTTTTATAGTAGAAAATATCCTGATCTTGTCTTTCCAAGTCACACCTGAACAGAACAGAATGAAGTGCTGAGCTAGCAGAGACATGTCCTGCAAGGCACAGTACTGGAGGGAGAGGTATGTGCATTTTTGTTTTCAAATGGCACTTTCCCAGCAACTTCACCAACCACCTTTCTCAACCTGTCCAAAATTTACTATTTCACTACACTGCCAGCACATTCTTTACATACTAGCACACTTCATATTGTAAGAATAACCTACCATCCAGTCTGTGCTGAACACAGTCAAACATTCCATGTCAGCAGACACACTGACAGACACACTCACTTCCTAAGCAGTTTCTCCATTAAAGCTGATCAAATCTTAAGGTGTCAAGGTATGCTGATGAACATGCTTCATGCTTCAGCCACCTAATAACAGTACCTACTACTTAGAAAAAATAAATTCGCACCCAGCTGTAACTTCCCCTAAGATACAGCAATTATTTACAGTTAGTTACAGGGCAGAGAAGCAGGGGGAGTGTGAATACTTCTTAGATTCCTGAACAAAAACTCCCACACTAATATTCCTGTGAGATTTTTTTTGAGTTTGGCCTGCCTGAAGAATTACACAGTCTAAACTGTAACTCCTATTTGATACCTGTATTTGGCAATTAAAAAAAGAAAAAAATCAGAATACAGATTTCTTTTTCCTAAGTATGAAAAAGATTCTGAATGTTCAGCTATTTTCTAGAGATTGCACTTCCATCCTAAAGAAAAGAAACCAAAAAACCTCAAACCGGTGAAAGATGTATGAATCACACATCATGTGATTCACATGAAGTCAGACTGAGATATACAGAAGTATAAATTGCCATTAATGATAAAAATATAGATCTGATTCAAAAAGATTCCTGCTTGGTGCAGTAAAGCTGCAATAGGTAAATCAGTTGTAGCCTGTTTAATCTGGCAGTCCATTTCCAATACCAGAAGCACTAGAGAGTATTCAGGAAGAAATTACAGCCTGCAGACTAGATACAACCAGAATACTATTCTTCAGAAGAAAGTGTTTATTCTGTTCATGCATCATCTTCTCTTGCATTCTCCTCTTATTGCAACTGCATATTTTCCCAGTATTCATATCAACCACAATATTTTTTCAATCCCTGATCAATCTCAAAACAGTGATACTGTGGCAATGAGTCCAATCAGTTCACTGCCTTTGGGGGGGGGGGGGGGAAAAAAAAAAACCAGTTTACTGCCTTTCTCTGAACGTCCCCTCACAATTTATACATGAAACAGCAATCTGTATACCTTTTTCTTCATTCTGTATGTCAGTGTGGACTCTGATATCATCGTGTCTTTGCCGAGACACCACAGCTGAATTTGAGGGTTGTAATCCATAGGAGGCAGAACTGCCCCGATCTCTGGATGAAGAGTATTTTAAATTGTCCTGGTCAGCTGATGCACTGTCAGTTCTACAAAGAGAAAAATATTTTTTTATGTAGGGGTATAACAGGAGTGGGACTCACATTCACTCACAAATACAACATATTTCAATGACAATCCCAAATGTATTTTCCTGTGTCAAAGAAGTTGTACATCTAACCTGTTTCTTCAAAAGTGACCTTAAATTCACACTGGGATGAGAACAGACTAATTATCACAGCAACATGCAAAGGAAATGCATCCTAGTGTGCCAGTGCCTTTTCTCAGGACATTCTCAGTTATTTCAGTTGGATGCCTATATAAGGAAAAACTACTTCCCAGAGGTGACAAATAAAATACAACTAGGGATAAGTATGTACCAGAGCTTGATGATAGTGACTACTATTTGTGAAAGTCATCACTAATCCACACATGAGTATTTACATAACATGCCATGGGCCTTATTGAGCAATATAAACCCTTTTATTAGATGGAAGCTTTACGAGCATGTAACTGATAATCAACGCAGAAATCACATAGAAAGTTTTTGCAAAACCAAAACTGTAAAACAAGGAAACAGGCTTTGCTGTGCAAAAAAACCTGAGAGGTAAATTAGGCCCTGTTCACCTTCAGAGTAAATGTCTGCAGACAAAAGGTGAGTTAAAAAAAACTGCATTAAGTTTAAACCACTCTCATATCCGAAAACTGATTTATAGCCCAGAATAAACTTTTAAGGAAAAAGATGAAACTTATGAAACCAACTGCTCTCACTGGGCATAATAAATGCTTTATTTCTTTTAAATACAGGAACTTCAATGAAATTAACTTGTGTGCACAAGATTTCACAACCTAAACTCAACCAACCACTTAGAGTGCATTTTTATAAACAAAGCTGGTGGTTTGACATTAAAACCAGTAAAACAACACCCCTCAAAAAAAAAAAATCAGCAAAATTTTGTTCAACTCAAGTACATTAGGAATCACACTACTCAGATTATTTACAGTGAGCTTTCCTTTTTTAGAGCAAGCTCTAAAGGTCTACTGTTTTTTTCTTTAAGCCTTGGATAGTTCATTTGATTGTTTAACAAAAAAAAGCAGGACAGATCATACCACTAAATTAACTAAATTCGTCTGAGGACATGTTCTTGAGAAAAAAATATTTTTTAATTTTCAAGAGAACATTGTGATTAGAACTGGTAAACAAATTCAGGGAAAAGGAGTCAAACACATCTTAAGGCCAAGAGGGAAAAACAGAGGTAACATTTCTGAAAAGCTGTTGTTACTGAAGCTGTGCTGAAAGCTTCTTACTGTCAAGTACAGCCTCAGCACAACTGGAAGAGTAATACCATGAGGGCTGATATTTGCAAAACCGACTGGAATTAAATACACACACATTCTATTCTCTTGAGAATGTTAAAACACATTATATTATTGATTAGAATAGGACAAAAATTGTGCTTTTGCCCTGCTCTCACGGTGCCAAGTTGACACTAGATTTGCTTGCCAGGTATTATTCCCTTTTGCACTATAAGCAAATTCATTTTTAGATATACACAGTAAGACACTTTTCCTCATTCAGTATTCACTGTGCCATCACATCTACTGCTTTGCTGAGCACTTGCTTGGACTATTTATAAAATAGGCTATGCTACTCAAGAGGCAAAGCCTTAGTAAAAGTCTTTGCTCATGACAGTCAAGTAAGATTGTAAAAGTCCTTATACAGTTGGACCATCATCATTCACCTGAGCTATGTTGAACAACAAAGTTCTGGACTGTACCTTCAGTGGTATGAACTTTAAATGTGCCTCCATTATGTGCAGATTTTCCAGGCAACTACAGAGACCCCAGATTTTCTCCCTTCTCTAAAACCTCAGAAACTCCCAGCTCACTTAGAGCAATTATTTCAGCCTTTCGATGAAACAGGCTGACAAATTTTCAGTTGGTAAATTTAAGTACTGATGAGGTCTTGAGTTTACCTTCCCAAAGGGCATCGCTTTTTTAAGGCAATGTGCTGTAAACTGAATCATCTCCAATTGTCAACCATTAAGCCTGAAATTCCTACATGTGAAGGCAGGCTGATTAAATGTACAATTTTTAACACTGCTCTGCACATCCCAATCAACTGAAGGACTCCACGTGTACTCAGCTAACCTCACTTCCCACAGCACAGCCTTGGACCGTTTCGTAAAATTTTCCATTGTGGTAAAATACGTAAGTCTATTGTTTCCCTGGGAAAACCCACACACTCAACTCATTCTGGCTTGGAGAGTGGCTCTCTGCAAGCTAACCTGCTCACACTTTATCGCCAACTAAAAGGTGAGTCCAATTTCATTTTAAAATATTTAACTGTTCTATCTATCAATTTAAGAGACGGTAGTTCCCACTACAATCAATGTCTGGCTTAGATAGCCAGCAGTTTCCACCCTTTCTGTATGACCCAGAGAAAAAAATACTTCCTAGTGAGATGTCCTTTCAAAAAACTAGCCTCTGTGCCCCAACTGACTGCTATGGTCTGTATTGTTTTGGGGGAGCATTTTGAACAGGAAGGAGCTTGTGATGAGACTCGGACCAGAAGCAGAGCTCACCACCTGATGGGCCTGTGCATTTCTAGCTGCCCAGGGACACACACCATTTCAACATGGGAAGCCAATTCAGGAATTGTACTGCTGGCTCCTGCATCAGCACTCTGGGAACTCATGGCATGACCTCAGCAAGACCTGGGGCTGCGACCCCAGTGCCTGTCACCTGCACCTCCCTTACCAAGGAGCCCAGACATGAGGGTGACACAGGGCACTGCTGTGCACACACTGAGTGTGCACAGGAAAAACCACTGAATTTCCAAATACATTTCAAAGACACCATTTTTCATATCAGGATTGCAGTTATGATTTTGAAAGACAACCACTTAGAACTCAAATGCAGACACTCACTCTAGACAGGCACTTGCCAGAGGCTTACAAGTAATGAGTTTTTCCACCTCCCTCCAGCCCTTTAAGGTACACTGCAGCCCTCCCACCAGGTGATGGGAAGAACAGTACCCCTGGCTCCCTCAGCTCGTGCCCGCATTTCAGGAGGGCACTGTTCCTGCTCACTCTTGCTGCTCACTTGGTGGTATTTCCACTTTAATTACACTGCACCAAGCAGATGGCAGCTTACGTGACAGACCTGGTGCTTAACATCTTCCAAACAAGTCTCTGCAACAACAAACGTTAAGTTATATACACTGACATTGTCACAGATCTAACAAACACCATATACCAACACAATCATAATGTACAAAGTTAGCAACAGAGAAGCAGAAGTAAAAATACAAATGTGGCATTAGACAAAGTCAGAATGTGAAAAGTGCAAAGATGAACATGACTATGATTACCTTATTCTGTAGCTTCACAAGCTTATTTGGCACTTTATGACACACTACTCTCTTTTATTTCCACCTGAAAAGCTTGCTGATGGAGACTAAGCAAAGTACTTCAAGAGCTCACATGACAGTTTTCATCTGTGCCTGGTTCTGGGTGGAAGATTACCTGATCACCACCACCAACTCAGTGCACACACTGTTTTAGCAATATCGTTTATACAGAAGAGACTGAACTGAGTTTTCTGCAGGCTGAATTTGAACCTGCCTTTATCCATCAGAAAAAGAAAATAGTTCACCTACCTAAATAAGCAGAAATGGCCACTAGTGTGTAGCCCCCCTCCAAAAAGGCTATTTTTTTTCCACTGGCATACAAAAGGAAACTTAAACTTTTCAAAAATCAGTCTATATCTCATTCCATCATTAGTATCGGTATGACCTGACTTGCCGATTTGACTGAAGAGAGCATGGCTCAGAACAACCGGTCTTAAAAAATAAATCTTTATCTAGAATAAAAGGAAAATAGGTCAATCAAAAATATATTGTGTTTCTTTAGTTAAATGGAAGCCTTAAGAATTTTGGTCCAAGACACTTGTTACAAACAACCTGGTGTATACTATTTGTTATTTTTAGCTTTTTTCCCTTAACAACCCTGCCATATGGATATTGTTTTGAGATAAAAATCACTTAATTATTCTATTTGATTTTATTTCCAAGTACAGGACCTGCATGAAGGATTTATTCTGAGCCAACCCCACTGTGTGAGCTCTATTATTGTTCAAGTCAGTCAATTTTACTTGCTTATTTGCTCCATTTGCAAAAACGCAGCTAAATTCTTCATCACTTAAAATCTTTTAAAACTTAGCATCACTGTACCACACAAATTAACAGCTTCCCACCAAGTTTCTGACCTTTATTCCACTGGCATGCAGAGCCACAACAGCCTTTTGCCATGGTCTTTTCTCACCCCTTGGTCCACCTTGCCAGGCAGGAGCCCAGCTGAGCCCACCCCAAAGCCTAATTTTGTTTCTACTCTGTGCTGAGAGCACAACAAGAGTGTAAGCAGACATGTTTCCTATTAGTGAAATAACAACTAATTAATTATTTTCCTACTGCAATTTTGCAACCTCCACTGCTGGACATCTACCTGCAATCACAGCAGTGTTCCAAATCACCTCCTGATTCTGCATCACTTCCCTCTTACATAGCAGCTTTCATTCTCTCCTGTGATGGACACTAGGAGGGAATGTCACAGAAAGGTCATACATATATGCATCCTCTTCTTTTTCCATAGGCATCTTCCAATAGCCATTTTCAGATGCAGAGCATAACGCTAGCTGTATCACTGGTCCAATCTAGTGTGGCTATTCTTGTATGGAAAACTATCTGGACTTTCTTTTGCTTCCCACTGACACATTTTCATCTTCTTTCATCTTTCTTGCATCTTACTCTCCTCTGTCTTCACATTAAAAACAAAGGCTGTCACACTACAAACTTCAGCTCTTCCATTGTACTAAGAAACAAAAAAGGTCTTTGATCTCACACCTTCCCAACATTATCAGCATATTCAACACCCTCAGATGTGAAAGGACATAAGAGAACTACAGCTGCCAGTCCAGAACTGA